TGGGAAAGCTATGAAGGCACACATGATTTTCATAACAGAATACAGCTGATATATAACAAGCCAAGTAACACCAAAAACTCCTTGGGATTTGGCTTCCTCTGGAGGAATTCCATGATCCCTCCAGGTAGTGACTTTGCCATAACCAGCTGAGTTCTTATGATATATTCCTGCGGCCCGCAACAGCCTTCCAGTTCCTGTCACCCACATGGTGACTCACAACAGTCTATAACTCCAGTCCCAGGGATTTGATGTCCTCTCCTGACTTCTGTGGGCTCCTATACACACATGGTACACATATATATACTCAGGCATACACACATACATACTAACCAAACAAATAAAATACTTTTTAAAAAGATGGAGAGTGTTTGAGGAAGACACTTTTAGTACCCATGAGTGTACAACATGCTTATTCACACACACCTACATGAACACATAAACCACACACATATAATAAATAAATCAATGTAAAAAAGAAAAATAAAGCTGGGCTGTGGTGGCGCACACCTTTAATCCCAGCACTCAGGAGGCAGAGGCAGGTGGATCTCTGTGAGTTCGAGGCCAGCCTGGTCTACAGAGCGAGATCCAGGGAAGGTGCAAAGCTACACAGAGAAACCTTGTCTCAAAAAAAACAAAACAAAACAAAACAATAAATAGATAAAAAATAAAATAACAACAAAAACCCAGACATATGCATGCTTGTAATTCCAGTACTTAGGAGGTGGAGGCAGGAGGATCAGAAGTTTAAGGTCATCTTTGGCTACATAGCAAGTTCAAGACCAATGTGGGCTGTATGAAACCATTTCAGAAGCAGTTAGTCAAGAGATATTTCATGTATTGTTGGAGTTGAGTGTGATATCCTAGTATATCTGCATGTGTACTTATCATGTCTAGCCTCTTTTTAACTATTTCTCACTTTCCTGTACTCACTATTCTACAATAAGGCTTATTAAAACAAGTATGTAGTACTTGTCTTTCTGAATCTGACTTATTTCCCTGAAACTAGTGCTCTGCAATTCCATCTACTTTGCTACTTAGGTCAGGATTTCATTCTTCTTCACAATTGAATAATATTCATTATATATGCATACCATATTTTCCTTATCTGTTCATCCATTAATCTAGGCTGATTCCATATCATAGCGACTGTGAGTCGTGCTGCAATAAACTAGGCTATGAATATCGCTTTGGCATCTGATTTTGTTTCCTTTGGTGGTATACCCATCAGTAAAGTAGCTGGATCTACTTGCACTCTAGTTTCAGGCTTTGGAGGAGCCGACAGACAGCCTTCTCCATAGTGGCTTCTCTAATGTACATGCCTGTCTGCAGTCTGAGGGGCCTTCTCTACATCACCCACACTTGACTTTTGGTTTTGTGATTTTTTTTTTTTTTTGAGACAGGGTTTCTCTGTGTAGCTTTGCGCCTTTTCCTGGAACTCACTCTGTAGTCCAGGCTGGCCCCGAACTCACAGAGATCCACCTGCCTCTGCCTCCTGAGTGCTGGGATTAAAGGCGTGTGCCACCACCGCCCGGTGGTTTTGTGATTTTTGACAATAGCCATTCCCTGTTTTAAAGATAGGGTCTCACTGTGTAGACCTTACTGGTCTGGAACTTGCTATGTAGAGCAGGCTGGCCTTGAACTCTTGAGATCTGCCTGTTTCTGCCTCCTGAGTGCTGGGATTAAAGGTATGTGATACCATGCCACCTGATAATAACCACTTTAACTGGAGTGAAATATCTGATAGTTCCCAATGACCAATTTAGCATATTATGCCATTTGTATATCTTTGAAAGAAATTTTATTTTATGTGTGTGGGTGATTTGCCTGCATGTATAGCTATGCACCACGTGTGTACTTGTGCCAGCAGAGGCCAGAAGAGGGCATCAGATCCCTGAAACAACAGATGGTTGTGAGCCACCACGTGGGTACTAGGAATTGAACCTGGGTCCTCTGAAAGAGCATCCAGTGCTCTTAACCACTGAGCCATCTCTCCAGCCCAGACATTTATATTTCTTTTGAGAAAAGATTGTTCAGAATATTTAATGGAATTGCCTTTAGTTTTATTTGTTTATTTTTGGTGGTTTGATATTGTGAAGTTCTTTTATAATTCCTTATATATTCTGCATATTAATCCAGATGAATAGTTGGCATATATTTTCTCTCTTTCTGTAAGCTACTTCTTCACTCTTTGATGTTTTTCCTTTTGCTTTGAATATGTTTTTTAGATTCATGTAATTCTATTTGTCTATTTCTGCTTTTTGTTTCCTGTGTTTTGAGTATCATATAAAAATAATTTAGTTCATTTGCTGAACAACTTAAATGGCTTGTTATTGTTCTTAGACTTACCTAGTCTCTTGAAGTGTTTTGCCTATGTCTTCTATTTTAGTTTTGTTTGTTTGTTTGAGACAAGGTCTCGAGTAGTTCAGGCTGGCTGGCCTTGAACTCACTGTGTAACTAAAGTTGATTTGAACTGTTGATTCTACTGCTTCAACCTCCCATGTGCTGGGACTGCATGCATGTACTACAGTGCCCAGCTTTGCTTGCTGTTTTAAAATTATTTTATGTGTATGAATGTTTCACTTGTATGTGTATACCTGGTGCCCACGGAGGCCAGAAGAGGGTGTGACCCTAGGACTGGAGTTACAGATAGTTCTGAGATACCATGTGGGTGCTGGGAATTGAACTTGGGTCTTCTTAAAGAGCAGCCAATTGTCTTAACTGCTGAGCCATCTCTCCATGTCCTGTATTGGTTTTGTTTTAATAGTAAGATCTGTGCTTTGTGGTTGTAGAATGTTCATATGTATACAGTATTGTAATTTTTTTTCTAGGGTGATTGTTCATGCCACTTTTTGCTTATTTAACTTGCCACTGGCTGACATGGTTGATGCAGATTTACTGAAGTTTAACAGGCAGTAAGTATATTTATTCAGATATTAAGTACAAAATGTTAGACAGGACTTATAGCTTAGTTATATTGACACCACAAATACATACCAGAGTATAGTTGTTTTTTCTTTTCTTTTTTCTTTTCTTTTTTCTTTTTTTTTTTTTTTGGTTTTTCAAGACAGGGTTTCTTTGTGTAGCTTTGCGCCTTTCCTGGAACTCACTTGGTAGACCAGGCTGGCCTCGAAATCACAGAGATCCGCCTGCCACTGCCTCCTGAGTGCTGGGATTAAAGGCGTGTGCCACCACTACCCTGCTGTTTTTTCTTTTTTAACTCTTTGGGGGCCTGCTACCTAGCTCCCAAATAAATACTTGGAGACTTATTCTTACTTACAAATGCCTGGCCTTAGCTTGGCTTGTTTCTAGCCAGCTTTTCTGACTTATATTATCCTATTTCTCTTTAACAACATTTTGCCTCTGGTGTTTTTACCTTTCTTTATTTTATGTATCTTTCTTTCCTTCTTACTCCATGGCTGGCTGGGTGTCCGGGTGTCCGGGTGTGGCTGGCCCCAAAGACCTCCTCTATTCCTTTTCTCACTTCTTGTTTCTCCCTAGATTTCTCCTCCTATTTATTCCCTCTGCCCACCAGCCCCATCTATTTCTCTCTCTTGCCTAGCTACTGGCCATTCAGCTCTTTATTAGACCATCATGTGTTTCAGCAAGGCAAAGTAACACAGCTTTATAGAGTTAAACAAATGCAACATAAAAGAATGCAACACTGAGAGCAAACACCTGTCTCAATTGTTTTTTCTCTTTTTGCAATATAAAGTTGGCTGAATGTGAAACAAAAAGAATGCAACACATCTTTGCATCATTAAACAAATGTTCCACAGTATGAACTAATGTAACACATCTTAAACTAATATTCCACAACACCAGAGTGATGATCCTAATGGCTGTCACTGGGATCAAGGGAACAGAATATTATAGGATGTTCATGCTTGTTCACCCTGGGTGACTTTTCCTTTTCTTGATTTGTGATGCTGTGGTTTGAACCTCAGGGCTTCGCACATGCTGGGCAAGTGCTCTACCCTTGAGCTACATCCCTCGCCCCTGGCACTATTTTCCCATTTCTGAAAAGACATTATAATTCTTATTGCTTAGGTTCACACAGCCAGTGCTACAGCAGGGTTAAAGCTTAGGAACCAAAGTGAAATCTCAGTTTGTTTTTTGTTGTACGAATTGCAGTGCACCAGCATTTACCAAATGCCAACGTACGTAAGTACCATGTGGCTGCTTCCTGTCAGCTAAGCAGAGTGGCATCTTCCTGAAGTCTCAGCCACTCATAGACTGTCAGTAGACTGCGGCAGGAAGAGCACTTGAGTTCTAGGCCAGCCATACAGCAAGACCTTGTCTCAGTAGATAGCTGTGTGTTGTGAGTCACACCTGTAATCCTAGCACTGCGGAGACTAAGGCAGAAGGATCACCTCAAGTTCAGGGTGTGACTGTGCTACATAGTGAGTTGACGTTCAGCCTGGGCTACATAGTCTGTCTCAAACAAATAAAAGCAACAAAAAGAATAACAGCAAAGGAGTTAAATTCTATTATCCCTTAAAACTAAGGAGTTAATATTTTATACTTGCTAAGCTATTTCTATAGTTGTTTACTTAAGTCAAAGGGAACTTCATACATGAAGAGGCCCTTCACACATAGATATACATATATACTTGAGTACATAAATACAATAGATGTGCAGGGACAGTGGAGCACACCTTTAATCCAGGTACTTGGGAGGCAGAGGCAGATGGGTCTCTGTGAGTTCAAGGCCAGCCTGGTCTATAGAGTGAGTTCCAGAAAACAAGCCAGAGCTACATAGTGAGACAGACTGTCTCAAAGAAGAAAGAGAAGAAATGCAACAAATGTGATTCATATTAAGAGCAGCGTTGTTTTTGTCTGTTTCAGGTCTCCCCTTTCTTTGATGGTTTTTGGCATCAGCGCTTTGTTTACCAGGCCTGCCCAGTCTTTGGCTCCCATGTTGATCCTGTCTAAGCTAACCCAGTATGGATATGGAGAGCCCAACAACAGGTAGACTGAAAGAAAAGTCTTTGCTGTCATGCAAGCAAATTCCCCCTTTCCTATGAACTCTAAGAAACTGTCTTGGGGGGTTGGGGATTTAGCTCAGTGGTAGAGTGCTTGCCTAGCAAGCACAAGGCCCTGGGTTTGATCCTCAGCTAAAAAAAAAAAGAAAAAGAAAAAAAGAAAAAGAAAAAAAAAAAAGAAAGAAAGAAACTGTCCTGGACTTTGAACTTTGGATATTGTTGGCTATTAACTCACATATCTCAAATGAGCTATAATAAAAAGTATTAATGGATAGCTGAAATACCATTAGTGAAATCACATATATTGCCTATGTTTGTATAATTCACACAAAGCTACATATTGATTGTATTTTCTGAGTTGTCCACTCATTCACTGTTACTCCATTTCCTGTTCCTGAGGACTTGCTTATGTGCTAGATAAGACAGTACTGGGAATAAAATATGAATAAAGAGTATCCATAGGGCTCTAGAGATTACAAAACACTGAGATAGGTCCCCACCAAGGCCTGGGAAGACAGCTGAGTGGTAGTATACTTACCTAGCACACTGGAAGCTCTAGGTTTGATCTTCAGTACCACAAAAATAAAATGGATCCTACCAGAAGTATACAGATACTGTGGTTATATGGAGGAGCGTTCCCTACCCCAGTCTGCCTATAGTCAGGGAGCACTCAAGGGAGAGTGAGTCTATCGAGCCAAGTGGGAAGAATCGACAGCTCCCCGGACTGAGGCGCCCTGCCCTGTCAGGAGCAGGGACTGTTCAGTCCTCCTGGGATTTCTGTTGTCAGAGTTTTGTAGTTTTCCTTATGTAGATCTTGCTTATCTCTTTCAGGCTTATATCTATTTTCTATTTTGTATTGAGGGCACTAATATAAGTAACATTGCATTTGTAACTTAAAACTTTGCCTATTTATTGCTTGTAGATAAGAAAGACATTGGCTTTGGCGTGGTAGAATATGTTGCAGTCTTTGTATAATGCCTTTTAGTTCTAGTAGTTTTTTTCTGTCAATTTTATGGTTTTTCTACATCAACAAAGGCTTTCAAGCTTTCTCACAACTTCTCCCTCCAACACTTTTTTATGAACATCTTTAAATACATGAAAATATAAAGTTTGACCATAACCACACACACTGAATGCATTAGCTTCAGCACATACTGATCAGTGTTCCTATCTTCTGCTTACCGATCCAGACACCTGCAAGTTTTTCTCTCAACTTTTTATTATGAAAAAAATTTAAACACACAAAATTCCAGAGAAAATTTGTATAGTTACTCCTTAGATGAAATAATCAATATTGTACATATTTGTTTCTAAAAACTTTGTACATTTGGCTATTCAATGAGAGTGTGTGTGTGTGCGCGCACGTGAATCTGAGCACCAGCAACCATATATACACATTCTATGACAAGAGTAGGTTCTCCTTCCACTATGTGGGTACCAGGAATTGCAGTTAAGTTCTCAGTCCAGGTAGCAAGTACCTTTATTTACTGAGCCATCTTACTGGCCTCTGACCTGGAACTCTTAGTCTTCTTGCCTCAGCATCCCAAGTGCTGGGCTTCCTGAGATGAGCACACAGTTCTATACAGCACTTCTTCTGTGGTGTTCATATAATCTGGTAGCTTTTGGTTCTGTGGTACTGGGGATAGAGCAGCACCCTGATCTTTTCTGTAGAATGTGCAGGGACTCGTTCATAATCTTAGCTTCTCCATATACTAGGTGACTTTTTCTTATTGGAGGAGTTGCTGTAAACTGAGGTCGCATTACAAGCCTCAAGCAAGTTTGTGGTAGAGAGCTATGGTGACCGAAAAGTGGGGAAGACAGACTCGGTTGATGAGTCGCATGGCCCTGTATCTCCTGTATTAGTTTATTCTTAGAGAGCTGTGACGGCAAGCGAGGAAGAACAGGTGTGTTTAGCTTGCTCTGAATTGTCTATGTTCTCAGAAACACAAAGGCCCCACAGTCAAGCCTCTCAAACCCATTTGTAGAACCACAAGATCCCATGGCCAGGTCACATCCCAGACCAGTTCAATTAGAAACTCTGGAGCTACGACACGGCCGCCAGCATCTTTTAAAACTTCCACCTTTCCCCCTGTGCGGTCAAGGTGAGGAACCTAGAGATTTATAGCCTTGGGAACAACAGCTCTCAACACTAATTCTTGTTGGCTCAGCAACATGACACGTTGGCAACCTGACATGTTGGCAAACCAGTTTTGTGATACTGTAAGCATTTTCAGAGACACAAGCTCATACAGGGACTTGGATATCTTTTATCTTTTAAGTGATAACTAAACCTTGGCCTCTGGTGGCCTCAGGTGGCTCATGTTACCTGCAAGTCCAGAAGCTAACTGTAGCACTCAGCAGGTGTGCTTTGCTGAATATAGCTCTGTTCAGTTGGAACCTCCAACTTGCCCTTGCATGATCCAGAAAGCTCCATTCCTGCCTCTCTCTCCAAATCCTGCCTATTCATAGTCTTCAAACAAAGGAAAGGCACCAAAAAGCCCAGTTCTACACTCTTGGTGGCTACTGCAGCTTCCTCCCCTAAAGTTGCCAGCCACCCAAGTCCCTGCCTAAACACTCAACTTTTGACCATACTTGGTCACAAACCCATCTTGTGGTAGACAAGTCAACATGCTGTGCCTACAACCTATAAAGTCTCCCCACTTTTGTTTGTGGGTGTGGCTGGCTTCTCTGGCCTCAATCTCTGGGACTGGAGAACCTACCTGGGAGTTACTTTGTTCAAATAAACCTGTTATATTTTTTCAAATTTGGCTTGATCTAGTTTACTATGTGGGTGGAGAAACCTATTATGGGGAGTGGGTAGGCACAAAACCTATTAAGTTTCACCAGTGTGAAGAACTGAGCAAATGTGTCTATTGAAATAAATGGCACCATAGCAGATAAGTTTTCTAGCATTTGAGTCTTTTCTTCCTCTTTTCCTCCCTCTCTCCCTCCTTCCTTCTCTTTCTCCCCCTCTCTGTCTACCGCTTTCTCTTTATCTTTCTCTCCTTCTCCCTTCCTTCCTTTCTTTCTTCCTTTTTTTTTTTTTTTTTTTTTTTTTTTTTTTTGAGACAGGGTCCCTCAGTGTAGTCCTAGCTGTCTTAGTGTTCACTTTGTAGACCAGGCTGGCTTTGAATTCAGAGATCCATCTGCCTCTGCCTCCCAAGTGCTGGGATTAAAGGTGTGTGCCATGACACTCAATATAGCATCTAATCCTTTGCTAACTGTTCCAGTGTACTGAACCAGCTTGCTTAGGGCTAGTGCTCTTTCCTTGGCCTCTTTCAAAAGAAATTCTGAATTCCTTGATGCAATTAAAGAAGTGTTATTTATGAGCTAACATAGTAGTAATGCCAGTACTTGAGAAGCTGAGGCAGGAGATTGTGTGAGCTTTAGGCCAAGTTGGGCTACATAGTGAGCTCCAGGCCAGCCTAGACTAGAGTGAGACCCTGTCAAAGCAAAAGAAAAGAAAATACAGATTACTTTATTGTATGTTTAGTATATATATTTACTTCTTTTTAATTATATTTCTCTCTCTCTCTCTCTCTCTCTCTCTCTCTCTCTCTCTCTCTCTCTCTCTCTGTATGTTTGTATGTAACTCCTGCTAAAAAATTATATGAACTCTGGAGATGTCGTTCAGTGGTAAATCACTTGCCAAGTGTGTGTGAGAGTCAATCTCTAGCATTGCAGACATGATAGTTGTGAAATTATAGAACAAGTCACCCTCATATTACACAAGAGAGTGCACAATACAGTTCTAGGATTTTGTAGAAAAGACCTCCTCCTTTCACTTGCTCAACTAAGTAGATTTGTGTTCTTTCTTGGCAGGTGTTTATGGAATTTTGCTGGGTTAATTCTGAGCTAGGAGCTAGAGTCCTAAGGTTTGATCCTGCTCTGCTTACATGGCATTAGGGAGGCAGAAGGGCAAGTCCAGATCTCTGAGCCAAGTCCAGAGGTTAGAAAAGCCACAAATGCAAAGGAACACAAGCTTGTGATTGGTTACTTGCAAATGGGTGCATAACCATACCCACTCCGTGTGCCAGGAGTGCCCTGCAGTCCTGGCCAAGCTCCTGATGTTCCATTAAGATGTTAGAAATTCAAAGGTACATTTCACCAGGGGTCAAAGGCTGCCAGTTTTATTCACTGGATTACACTGTCATCTACTGGTGTGTTGTAGATAATTCATGAATAAAATTCATTATTTAAGAAATAGCTTTTGCTAGGTATGATGGCTCATACCTGTAATACCAGCTCATGGGAGGCTGAGGCAGGAGAATTGCCATGAGTTTGAAGCCAGCCTATATTATACAGTGAGTTTCAGGTCAGTCTGAGCTATAGTGTGAGAGCCTATCTAAAAATCTAAACCAAACCAAAACAATACAAAAAAAAAAGAATAATGGCTTTCTGTGATCAACCTGGTTTATATACAAGCATGTTTCTTTCCTCCTTTTCTTCTCAGTACTGGAAATGTGACCCAGAACTTGGGACATGCTAGGTAAATCCTCTACTATTGAGCTCTACCCCAAGTCATATAAGCATGTTGTTAAAAGTTATGTATGAGGACTCCAATTTACAATAAGGCTCGATAAGGAAGGGAATGGCTCAGTTGCCTTTAGCCTACTGGCTATGGGTGGGATAGGACCTCTGTTGGTCTTTTCTGTGTCGAACACACAGATTGCAAGCCCAGTGCCACTTTGAGATCTTTGGCAGCAGTTAATTCTGCAGCTCACACACGATTGAGCCTGTATGATAATGAGTATTCAGAGACAGGTAATACCTGGGGGGTGCTCACCAACCTAAGACAGAGTACCTGTGTGGCCTGGGCAGGTGTCTCCATGACAGGTAAGGTGACCTGCTGACGTCCCACGAAACCTAAGTCAGAAGCTCATTTTTTAGTAAAAGGGGGACCTGTAGGTCCCTGGCCCCCGTTTTGGGTAACTGTTGCCTTGCTTGCTGACCTTGACCTTGATATCCTCCCTAAGCTAATTCCCT